TTATAAAGATATGTATTTAAATTAATTAGAAATAAATAATTATTTTAAGTAGTTTCTTATATGGTAATATGATATAATAATATTGTCTCGCATAAATCATAAATTCATTAATATACTATGTGATTTTAAAACAAATTCCTTCAACAATTGCTTTCTTACCAACTTCATGAGATGGAAGAACAGCCATATGACTCTAAAAAGAATATAAATATATTATTCATATTTATTTTTATTTTGAGAAATGAATAATCTTACCATTGGCATTTGTTCATTTGAATTCATGTAACCTATTATCATTGAATTTGTAGAATGACTCCAAAGGAAATCTCCTAATCCTTCTTGTGGTGCATATCGTATAGCAATAACACCTCCAAGTTTCTGTTCAAGTCCGCACAAAAATTTTGAATCTAAAAAATTTGTATTTCTATAAAAACATTAATTTTTATAAAAATATTTTATAAATCATAATTTTTTCACTCTAATAAAAAATATTTTTAATATTGAAAAATAATAATAAAGTAGTTACGAGTTTTCACCGATAAAATCAGCTTTCATAGAATGATACAAGTTGGTAATAGGACAAGAACTATGTGATATAGCTTCTGCAACTGTTCGCGCAAGTAAAGTACGAATAAGATGTTCTCCACAGCCTGATGTGCTGGTTCCTATAGAATATTTATCTTTATATGCCCATGTACCACATCCCCACATTCCTGCCTTAAAATTATAATAATAATTATTTAATTATTTTCAAATAAAACATTTGCATATACTAATAATAAAAAATAAATTTGTAAAATATACCTGTCCCACTCTTCCAGGATATTTTAAAATAATACCACCACTAGAACAAGCTCCAGCAATATTTCCTTCTTTATCAACACATATTGCTCCAACTGTATCCATTCTTTGCTTGGTATACTATATTATTCAATTAATTTAAAATTTTATTTAAAAAAGTGTAATATAATGATAAAAAAAATAAAATATTAAAAATTATTTACCTTTTGCACATCTGCATTAGAGTTTTCTATTTTTCTTTTATAATGTTTATACATTTTCTGTGCTTTTGCTACAAATATAATAAAATATTATTATTTAATTAAATTTATACATAATAAAATATTATATGTATAAAATCAAAATCATATGTATAATTTATTATTATTAGTTTATTATTAATTAATTTCTAAATATATATGAAAAATAAAAAAAAAAAGTTTTTAAGATTAATATAATAATAAATTTTTTATTAAATATAATTAGATATTAAATTATTAAATAAAATGAATAATAAAATAAAAGATTAAATAAAAGATTAATTACATACTTGAAATTAATTGTTCTGGAGGTAAAGTTTGAATTCTCATTTCTTGTGCCCATACATGTGCACCATTACCAACTAGAAAGCTGCATTAATTTATTTTTATAAATGAATAATAAAAAAAATATTATTTTAAATCTTTAAAATATTAATTTTTAATAATTATACCTTGGCGGAATTCTACCATATGCAATCTTAACTGATTGATGTTCACAAAGTCGTTTTGCCAATAAAACAGGATTTTTTATTCCACTAACTGCACCAACAGCTCCAAATTGCAATGTAGTACCATCCATAACGCTTGCATCGCATTCTACGGTTCCTTCTAATGTAAGATTAGAACCAAATCCAGCATTAGTTAATGGAGAATTTTCTAATACTATTACAGTTTCTACTACAGCATCTAATGAACTACCACCAGTTTTTAAATTCTGTATACCCTTTAAAAATATTATTGGATTATGTTATGATATATTAAAATATTATAAATAAAAAATTTAAAATAACTTACAGCTTTGCATGCTTGACGACATAATTTTTGATATTTTTCTTTAAGAGTTTCAGAATGTCGTCCTGCCCCTAATAAAACATTAATATAACACTTAGCATAAATATATAAATTAATTAAAATATTAATTTATTTTGTTTTTTTACAATTATGCTTAAATATGTTTCCAAAACTAATAACATACCTACATGAACAGCAATAAATCCATGATTAATATTACTCATTATAACATTATTATTAAGTTTTCAGTGTTACTAAATGTTTATATTTTTGATTTCTGATCATCACATATAATTTTTGCATTTATTTTCATTTATATTTTGCAAATATTTCTAAATAAAATTATATATATAAATATCTATTTATTTAATTTATATTTATAATTTATATTTAAATAAGATACAAAAATTTGTAGATTTTTATTATATTGTAATCACATTATCTATAAAATATGTATAAAATTACACGCATGCGTTATTATATACTTAGACCTATAGCTATATATAATATTATGATACAAATTTTTACGAATATATATTTTTATAATTTAATTATTTTAAAATATTATGGAAATATGTATTTAAAAACATCATTTAAAAAATCTAAATAACTTAAATCAAATTTTTGAATTTTTCTAATACAATAAATTATATTAGATATATAAATAAAACTATGTAATTAAAATCTAAGTCAAATATTCAATTATAAATTGTTGACATGTATTAATATATATATTAGCCGAAAATGTCACATCTATATTGAAAAGATCATAAAGTAAATCTTATTTACTTTTTTTTTTAAAATAAATTTATTTAAAATATTTATATAATTTAAGTAAATATATAAATAAAATATATTAATACAAAAAATAAAAATTAAGAATTAAGATAAATATAAATAATTACTATACATTATTTATATTATTGCATTAAATTATTTAATTTATCATAATAAAATGTTAGAAACAAACATTTCATAAAATCGCGGGAATCTGAAACTAGTAACTTATAGTCACTTGATTATCTATATCATGATGAGATTCAAACATTATTGGATTTACTCAACAACGGCTTTTGTCTTTAATAAGTAATAGACTGTGCAAGTCAATGTGTGTTAAGTCAAATTCACACGATAAAGGGATAAAATAAAACAATTTAAATATAGAGTTTTTTCTGATTGTCCAGTTTTCGCCATCTGGTGAAAATGAATGTCGGATGATTAAAACTCATATAGTTATTGAAACTGACGCTAAAGGGCGTAAATTTTTGCATAAAATACGCGGGAGTTGTCTATCCATAGTTCGTATTAATACCAATGGAATTGAACATACAGATTTATTACTTGCTATGTTTAAATTTATATGTGAAGTACGTAACATGTAACAATTTTTTATGTTCCCATGAAATACTACAAAATTTAAAATACCGGTTATTAACATAAAATATCAATTTTTGCAGTATTAAATCAAATGAAGGCTTTTTATATTAGGTACATTTATATTTTCAAATTTATATGTAATCATACTTATCATTTTTAATGAATGATTTATATTTACTTTTACATTTATTTATTTATTTTGATTAGGATGCCTCAATTAACATAAGGATTATTTTAGGTTACTTGAATTAACAACATAGTAGCCATCTATTTCAACTTTATATATACTTACATATAAATACATATATATACATATATATATATATATATTGTAAGTACCACATTTAAAATTTTTTTTTTGATGATGTTAGATATTTATATATTAAATTATGTTATTTTATTATAAGTGATAAAAGTGATAAAAATCTGATGAAATTTTCAGGATTAAGTGACAGATAATAAAAGGCATATAATTTATAATATATTGAATGGCCATATTAATAAAAAACATTTGGACTTTGTGCTACAAGCAATTGTTTTCTTACAACAATCATGTTGTTGTTCGACTTTTTAAAAAAATTTTTTGGGTGGGTAGATGAAGCACCTAGGAAACGTAGAGCAGTTTCATTTAGTTTGGAAAAAGAATTTGTTACTCCAAAAAAACATCGTTGTGATTATAAGACTATTAACGTGGAGGAAGAACCTATTGAAATTAAAGATGATAGTGATGAGGATGAAGTTCAAGTTATTACTAAACATAAATATCCTTCCATTAAGGCTTCTAGTAAATTAAATGGTACATGTAATAATAGTAGAGAAAAATCACTTACTTGTTGTTCTTCATCTTTTTCATCATCAAAATCTCAACCATGTTATGACAAAGTAAATATAGGATGTTCTAGTAATAAAAGTGGAAGAATACAAAATATTGAATCACATCAACAATGTTCAACATTGATTAAAACTCATCGCTTAAGAGAAAAAAATCAGTATGAAGAATTATTACAAAATTTTCTCCCACGTAGGATACATGTCATATGTGATAAAAATGATGATAAAAGATCTACACAAGAACCAATAGAAGTAATAGATTTAGAAAGATCTAGTTCTTCAACTCCTTTTTCCAAAATTCAGTCAGCTTCTAGAAAAAATGATAGAATGTTACAAATGCATTGGAGTACTCCAATTAAAGAAAAAAAAGATACAGAAATAATTAATTTAGATAATGATGAAAAAGAAGAGCTAATACATTCCATTCATAATAAAACATTGTCTCATAGAAAAAATGTTATTGAAAAAGAAAAATTTTCACAAAATAAATATACTGAATGTATAACTACAAACACATTAAGAGATCAATTAGCAGCAAAAGCTGTAATGAGGGAAGATTTTATTCCTCAAGTAGCAAAACGTTATAATGAACGTATTGAACAACGTTATAAAGAAGCGGAAAAACTTAAAAAAATGACATGTGTATTATCTAAACATAATCGTTTAGCAAGAGAAGCTGCTTTAGAAGAACATTTAGCCCGTTCTATGAGGTTATGTGAAGCCGTTTTAGAAGAAAAAGAAGATTTAGAAGAGTCAGAATTGCCTACTTTAACAGAGGAAATGCTGCAAGAAATAAAAAATGCTCTTATCTCTAGGCCACCAGATGAAGTCCTTGTTGAAGGATTTGGCCTAAGAATTACAAGAAAAGATATTCATACATTAGCTGACTTAAATTGGTTAAATGACGAAGTAATAAATTTTTATATGAATTTACTAATAGCCAGAAGTACCACTAATGACAAGTATCCAAAAGTACATGCTATGAATACATTTTTTTATCCAAAATTAATCTCAGGTGGACATTCATCACTAAAAAGATGGACTAGAAAAATTGATATTTTTGCACAAGATCTTATAGTTGTTCCTATACATTTAGGTATTCATTGGTGTATGTCAATAATTGACTTTAGAGATAAGTCTATTCGTTATTATGACAGTATGGGTGGCAACAATTCAAAATGTTTATCAGCACTACGACAATATTTGGAAGATGAAAGTTTGGACAAAAAGAAACAAAACTATGATACTAGTAACTGGAAGTTAGAGTGTGCCAAAAGTATCCCACAACAAATGAATGGAAGTGATTGTGGTGTTTTCTCTTGTATGTTTGCTGAATATATTTGTGCAAATAAAAAAATCACATTTACACAGCAAGATATGCCATATTTTCGAAATAAGATGGTTTATGAAATATTAAAGTCCAAGCTTTTATAAAATAAATATTATTTATTTAGAGAATTATTGACAATGAATAATTTAAATAAACTTTCAGCAACTTCCAAAAATTACAAAATATTTTAGCAAAAGTTTATTATTGGATAGAATATTCTGAAAATATAATATTTATACTAAAAAGTATATTATTCATATTATTATCATAGTATTAAAAGAAGTTATACAGTATGATTTCTTTTATATTGTCAGAAGTATAATTTTGTTTAAAAATGGAATGTTGTTAATTTTTTGCAATGTAAAAAAGAACAGTACTTTGTAAACAAAAGTTAAAAAAATGTCATAATAAATAGTATTTCCTCATAATAATCATATCTATTTTAATAACAAAATTCATTTCATTATAATATTTGCCTATTGCACATTCTTTATAAAAAATGAAAAATGTAATGTACTATAACACTTTATTTCGAATAAATGTAAAATTTTTAAAATTACTTATGTATGAATATTTTATGTTTAAAACTGTTTATGTAATAAAAAATATGTTTTCTAATTATGGTTTTATTTCACAAACATTTTTGATCGATATTACATTAAAACAATGTCAATCTTTATTATATTATAATAATATAATTATATATTAATTATAATATATTATATATATTAATTTATCAAAATATAATAGAATATATAAAATTATTACTTATATTATTTATTATATTATTTATATATA